AAAAGAGCCTTGCCCAAAAACACAACACAATGACCCCACCAAGTGTCAAATTCAGATCTCTAACCCCGACTTTCAGAACGTTATCCGCTACGTAAGTGCCAAGTATTTGTTCTTGTTCCTTCACCATTTAAACCCTCAGAGCGACCAGTATACAGCTGAATCATTCGTGAAGATCATAAGAATAAAGAAAATGATCACCAGCTAAAGAGGCTCTTGATTGTTGAACAAATTCTCTTTGTTAGCACCTTAGGGAATGTATAGAGAAGAGTGCGGAAAATATGCATTCTGATGTTAGGTTGTTAACGGTTGACCTACCTTTGACCAGTAATTTATACCATAAGATATGGAGTGCATAGTCACAGGGTTCCCTCTGATAAAATATCCGCCGAAATAAAGTCTCTTGAGGCCGTTAAGTTTCGCATAAAGTGAGGCAATCTGAAATGAAAAGACAAAGTAATAATTTCTCCGTAGGTGCTGGAGTCGGTCAAGGACAACCTTTGCAGTTCTTGTATTTTCTTTTAAAGGAAAACTGAAGCTTAACAAAGAGTCCTCGACTCATAAACCTGTGAAGAAGGGGATGAAAAGGTTATCTAGAAATTCTCTTGGATGCCTGCATCGTTAAAATTAAAAAAAAAATAACTTTTCTTCCGCTACACAATTTTGATGAGAATTCTAAAGTTATTTGATAAAAAGATAATTTGGTTTTATAAACTGAGTTGCAGATGTAAATTGGCTACCGTAAAATAGTTCCTACTGTTGACTTTCCGAACGTTAGCCCTCCGTCAGAGCGAAGGAGAAATAGTTAGTTCTTGAATAATCATTGGATTCAACAGTTCGAGAAAGTTTTCTTTTATCAAAAATATTCAGAGCTTTAGATCTACCCGAATTTCGTGAAAAATGCTCTTACTGTCAGGTTAAAGGTAGTTTTAACAAACCTGCCCGATGTCGTTGCAAATTAGATGCAGAAGACTTTTTGCTATATCTGCCTCGGCGAACTTGGTAGCTAAACGAAAAGAGATGTCACAAAGAAGTTTTTAGGTAATTTGACAAAAAAGTGTCGGTACTAATAGCTTTCCCGTATCAAGTCTGGAAAAAACGCGGGAAACTCGAGTCCAAACCGATCCAAGCGCGGGAAAACAGCCAATCAGTGCTGAAAGCGGGAAATCTTGTAACCTCTTTCTCTTCCTGGGAGGCTGTCTGGTAAATAGGTAATTTAGTGTTAACAACTGAGTTGAGAACGTAAATTGGCCACCATAAAGAGTTAAAAGGCTGAAGTTTCGAGCGTTAGCCCTTCGTCAGAGCGATCGTATTAAATATGCGCTGAAGGCAATAAAGGCAGGCACAAATCGAATAAACGCTCGTTTGACCTGCGCTTGCATTTGTTGAGTTTAGCGGATATTTGCTGCCGAGTCTTTGTAGAGGAGAAGTGTTATTATTGCAGTCAAGTACACGTTTTCCAAGGATATCTTAAAACCATTTCACACGGCGACTTAGCAACAGTTGTCGATCTAAGTGCGATTCACAAAAAAGTGATCTAAACTCAAATGAAGTTTGAACAAACCACTTTCTTGATCATCTCTCGGTGACCTGACCGTTTTGCCAAAACTGCTCGCAGTTAAGTCTCCTGGAAGCTTTAATGCGTCGTAAGCTCCTCCATAGATGTCTCTCACCTACAAAATGATTGTTCATTAAGCCCGCTCAACAAGAAGATTTTTCGCCGAATGTCGTATGAAAAAAACCAAGGTAAACACTACGGCCGATCAAAACAGAGCTGAGCATTACAATAAACCAATGAGAAAATGCAAGCGACCTCAAGCGCGGGAAAACGCGGATGACCTCATGACGATTGGTTTTAGTTTTGCATCTGATTGGTTGTGGAGATGACACGAGTTTTGTGGGCCCATCGCAAAGCACATAGCTGCAAAATCCTAGCAACTTTCGATACTAAATCAGAAATTTTTCTGTTCCTCGAGAGAAGAGCAACCATGCTGTGAGAAATAGAGAAAATACTGCAATTCGTACCAACATGTCCACACTTTGGTGATGGCCTTTGGTTGCAAGCTCTAGTAACTCATCAAAACCCTGCAAATCGAAAGAACGTTATCCAGTACTTATTGATAGTTTTTGTTTCTGTTCAAACAAAACTGAAGAATGGAAAAGACGCCGAACAGAATAAAATCAAAGAACAAAAAGACAAACAAAACAACCAACCAACAAATAATCAAAACAATACAAACGCAGTAAATTGCTAGGACTCGACCCAGACGCCTAACATTTTTTAAGCTAAATCCATTTGCAATAAAATAAATAATTGGGTGGTACATAGTTTAAAAATTAAGTTTCATAAGCTTATTGAATTCAATTCAGCACCGCTCTCTGTCTTATGTTTCGCGGTTGTTCAATGCGTGTCTTGTACCTTGGCACTCGTTAGAAGCGAACCCAGGCCCCAAAAGGTTCCTCCGCCCATGCTTGTTCCACCAACTCGTTCATACTTGTTTTCAGACTCTACCTGGAAATACAGATTGAAAACATTTTCACTTGTAAGCAGGTAGTTGTGCAATTAAATACAGTAATGTTTTATCGTATAGCAATGCCAAAAGAACTTTTGCATTTCGCGTTCCGATTCGCAAGAAGTCAAAACTAAATTCTGCATCAGAAATCGAGGATTGTCAGCATCTGAGCAACTTTACACCTACCCCTCCCCTAACCGAACGTTAACCCTCACCTGTTATCAGTTGAGTGTTTTTGGGTCAGGGGAGGGGTAGGAAAACAGTTGCTCAGATGCTGACATTGATCCAAAAAGGTTTCCATAAGAATCGGTGTCGATATTGCGATCGTGAAGCGTCACCTTAAAGGTAAAATACCTTGATTATACTGACTCCAGAGCCAATATTAACCAGAAGGTAAGGAAATATTTCCGAATGATCAAGAACTTGGAAGACATATGGAGGATTCTGGTCCCGATGAAACTCAAACACTTCGTAAGAAATGTTCTTCAGGAGAAAGTTTCCACCTCTGATGAGGCATTCCATCTCGTCCTCTTTGTCAACTCTAACAAATAGAAACTACATTTTAATGGCTTGTAAATAAACAATAGCTTAACTACTGGATAATTTCCTCTCACTCTTCGATATCTACTCTTCATTCCTTTCCGCTCTTACCTCTTTCCTGCCCAAAATTATAATCTCCCTCCTTGTCTTCTGCTGCTCCTCAAAGCTTCTTCCCCCTTCCATCTCTTTGCCCACCATCATGTTCATCCTTTTCTCTCTATTTCCCTTCTTCCCTGACTTCTATCCTTCTACCTACCATGCATTCTTTCATTCCTCTTTCTCATTCCCCTTCCCTTTCCTTCCCACCCATCTTTTCTCATCCCAACCCCCTACCCACATCCCTGTTCCTCTTCCTTATCTCCCTCTCAAACTTTTACCCATTCAACCAATCTACTCTTACTCCCTCCTATTTTTCTGCCAACCCTCCAGTCCTTCTTCCTCCCCATCCATCTCCTTCCCATTCCCTTCCCATTCATCTGTTCACCCTCCCTCCCTCCCTCTGATCCCATTCCCATATTTCCCTTCCTTTCTCCATCCCTTCCCTCCTTCACTTCCTCCCATTCACTTCCTTCCCATTCACCCATTCTCTCTCTCTTTTTTCTCCTATCCTTACTTAATCCAATGTCCCACCTGAGGCCAAGTTTGCTTGTAAGTAAATCCATATATTTGTAAGCTCCACCACCTTAAAGGGAAAAAAGAACAAATATTTGGTCCATTATGTACATAAAGGTGACTTATCAAACTTAACAGGTCTTGTGTGCAGAGAGATAAGAAGTCCATCCCATAAGTATCTGTCACTAGCACATGTGTCTGTTACAATATGTCTTTTTTTAAATTTTTTTTTATTTTTTAATTTGTTTAAATTTTTGTTGTTTTTGTTTTTTAATTTTATTTTTCTTTAGTAATTAGTCTTTTTAACAAGGTAAATGACAGCTTATTTTAAGGAATCTTATATTCTGTTTTAAGCTGTCATCAAACTGATTGAATTGACTTGGTCAATGTTAAATTAATTTGGAATTTATATTAAAAATTAAAGAAAATGAAGGCAGCCTACCAGTGGCTTTCAAAGCCCTATCTTTGCTGACGGCAGATAGGATGTTTTCTTGAATAAAATTAACACACATCTCTATGTACTTTGTTTCAAACTTGATAAAGTGTAATCTGAGGTTGGACTCTTGGTCATCTTTGATCTCGTAGATATGCATAGATGATGGACTTCTGTCTGACTGGGAAGATTTACAACAATTACGATTAGCCCAAGAAAATATGAATCCTGCTTGCCTGACTGTTTAATCAACAAATTTATTATAGTAAACAGTTCTCTAGTATAAACACCTCTAAAGACATAAAGACCAACAATTTAAAAATTGTATCTTATACCCCTCTCTCCTGGTCTTCATCATCACTTTTGTTAGTGAAGCTGTAATGCCGCTTCCTGATATACCTCACTTCTGACATGTACGCCACCTTCGCAAGAGATCCACCTGTCGAGATACATATTGACAAATGCACAATAGATAAGATACAGCCCAAAATTGAAAAGCTGAAAGGAGAAAGGTCAAGTTTCAGCCATTTTTTACACAGTTGTAGCAAGAATCTTTGCAAAAGAAACCGGACAGTTTATCATGTGACCTTTGACAAGCGCGTTACGTTCGACAAACTGTACAGAACATACCAATATCCACTGCAAATATCTTAGCGTTTTTTAGATTTCGAAACACCTCAGGCAAAGATATACTTTTCGCATAGCCCGAAGTACTTCCTTGCGTAGCTTCAGGATCCATAATTATGCGTCTAAAGGCGAAGACCTCATTTAAATCTTACGAAAGGTTTTTAAAGAATTGTTGGTCAAAGTACGCTAAGTCGTCCGCCATTTTGAATTATTATGAGCTGAGTCCGCAATGTTAATGCACGTTCGTCTCCAGGTCCACTCTAAGAAGTCCCCATGTGCTGATTTCTGCAGAGTTGTCTGCTAAACGTTACAGATCATATATTTTGTGTGAAAAAAGAAAATATTTGCAAATGAACCTACTGCATTGGTAGCAGACGTTTCAGGATTTAAACACCCATTTGCGTCTCTATCCTCGTGAATTGTACGGAGATTTACATCACCAAGTTGAGCGATTTGGAACTTTTCAATTGTTGAAGTGGGCAAAAACACCGACTTCAGCTTTGTCTTTTTCAAGCATCATGGTGGTAATGACAACGTTCCCTCCTCCGACTGAGGGTTTGCATCATGTTCAAGATAAAACGGAGGCTTTCATCCACGATAAGTCGTGTGGAGTGGGAACTTTGTATATTGCAGCAGAGTAAGTGAAAAGTAATTTACTTCTAATGTTGTTAATGGAGAGTCAAAGGTTTCTCACTACTAACGGGCATATTAAACCGCCTTAAACTCATTCCTAGGGTGAGGGGTAGAAAGGATGCTTTCTATATTGCAGGGCCCCCCCTGTTATACTGGGAAACCTTTTATTAAATGGTGCACCAGTGGTGCGATATGATACTGATTTTAATTGTGATGAAGATATTTGCAATAATGCATTGACAATAATAATAATGATGATGATGGTTAGATGAACACAGTGAGAATGAAAATCAGCTTCAACATGTCACCAAAAGCAGCAAAGAGGCCTGTTTGACATGATTCTGTAGAGATGCAATGGCATAAGTGCGCTTAGCTGCAGGTCAAGACATCTAGGATCCAAACCTGGCCCGGTCAGTGTGCTGTGTTCTTGGGCAAAACACTTTACTCACAGTGCCACTGTGGGTACCGGAGAATGTCGGGGAAGGCTGGGAAGAGGGGTTGGGGGGGGGGGGTAGTGATGATATGGCCACTTCATGCCATCTTTGTACAAACAATTTTACATTTGTGGGTTTTGATCACATCTTCTTTGCAGTCGATTGTCATGGAGTGATCCAGAATCTGGAAAGGGCTTCTCATTGGAGTATCCATCAATATCCTTGCATGCAATATGCAGGGATACCTCACAGTTTCCTCATGAGTGTATTTACTGCATGATGGATTCACCTTTAGATGGTATGTGTCACCAGACTGAAGAAAAAAATATGGCTTCACTTTACTAATTATTTCTTAAATGACTATTTCCCCCTCATTTATGGAACTCATTTTATACCTTAACATTTCTGCAATGGCCAATTAGTATTGTTCAAAAAAGGCCATAATGTACTGAATTCAAATGTTCTATTGTGCTGCAAGAAGTGGATTCCTCCATCTTTTGAAACCCAGAAGTCCATTCCCCACTCCACAAAAAGTTTGTTTGTAAGGCTACCAATATATCCAATATATTGCAAAATTTTCTTTTCAAACAAATTCTAAAAACTTTTAAACCTGAAAGATGTCTTTCACACTTTTCCCAGCCATATTGGTAAAGAATTTTTCCCTTTATGTACAAACTGTTTTGTTAGTGATGATTGTTTTGTGATTTCAAAACTCAAATTGAAAGCTATATACTTTTGTCTTTAACCAGCCCTTCATTCCTTTGATTACAGTGCACCCTGCATACGATTTGGCCTCCAGAATAACACATTTGAAATGTACATGTAGGTACATTTTCTTATAGCATAGGTTAATTTGTGTTGTTTTTTTTTTCAGATGGTGGAAATGACAGTGACAGTGACGACAGCAATGGCAAAGTTGGAGAAGTTAGATTTGTTCCCGAAGACAAGTCAGCATGTAAGATGTCTGTCATGTTTTGCCTCAACTAAAGATTTATTTAATATTGACAATAAGTTATTGAATGAAATATATTAAAGTTCACACGGCAACCAGGTGGACAATCAGACATAGTTTGAAGCTACACTGGTTTGCAGATTTAATGAATGTAACCGAAGAAGTTACAATTCATAGACCCAACGTTTCGACACTCCTGTCTAGTGCAACAAGAGGTCCTTTTATATGATCACTAATTAGCGGCCTTTTTTTCTGACGAGGTGTAAATAGGCGTCAGGAAGCAGACCGCCATCGTCACGATTTAAAGGAGCGTGGGCGGAGTTAATGTGCCAAGCCTCCAAACAAAGGCGCTGGTGGTAACGCCGATTAGTAGTGATAATTTTAGAATTATCCCACCCAATTGTATGGTTAGTTAGGCAAGTATGCTCCGATAAAGCTGAATTTTCCTTTTTGCAAAGAAAAACCGCTTTTTGGTGCTCTTTTAACCGTGTACCAAACTGGCATTTGGTCTGTCCGATGTATTCGTTATCACAGTCATTGCAAGGAATAGAATAAATGGTGTCGGTTCGTTGTTCTTTCGTGACAGGATCCTTAGGTTTGGCGAAAATATGCCCCACCACCACCCAATACGCCATTTATTCTATTCCTTGCAATGAGTATGACAACGAACACATCGGACAGACCAAATGCCAGTTTTGTACACGGTTAAAAGAGCACCAAAAAGCGGTTTTTCTGAATTGTAACTTCTTCGGTTACATTCATTAAATCTGCAAACCAGTGTAGCTTCAAACTATGTCTTATTGAATGAAGTTGAAGATGATCAATTGTTATTACATGCAGAATTATTACACCAGGTTTTTAACTTGACCCTTTAACTCCCAAGATGTGATTGTCAATTCTCCCCTCTACACCAGTAGTTGGCATTAGACCAATTTACGCATTTTCTGGATAATTTATGATATTATAGGGAGAAGTTGCTGGTTAACCCTTTAACTCCCATGAGTGACCAAGACAGAATTTCTCCTTACAATATCAATACCATATCAATCAGATTAGTGAGGAGAATAAAGAAAAATAGCAATTTGGGGATAAGAAGTTGATCCAATACTTAATTCTCTTAACGAACATTATAAGAATTGTATGGTTGACAGTAAGGAGAATTACAAATTTGATCTGGGAGTTAAAGGGTTAAGGTAGACAATAACAACATTTGTCTGACTCTTTATTGTTTACTTCAGTTTTTTTTAAAAATAATTTATTGATTGAAGCCGATGATGTTCAATAGTTGTTACATATAAAATTACTGCACCAGGTTGTTAACTAAAGGCAGACAATAACAACACATGTCTGACTCTCTTTTGTTCACATCAATTTTTTTTTTGTTTGTTTTCACGTAACAAGTGGATGTCATGTTCAAGGCTTTATCTGAGTGTCAGGTTCTCCATCCAGACCCTGACAATGAAGAAGGGGAAGGTACATTACTAATCTTTGATTAAAATACTAATTGATTAGTCCTAGAGTGATGCAGGTATGATCAAGTGCTTGGCTCTCCATGCTGTGGTCTTGGGCAAGAAACTGTACTCTCACAGTGCATCTCTATCAAGGAGTATAAATGGGTGCTGGGGAACCAGCAGGGAAGCCTGATGAAATGCTGGCAGGTTCACTTGTAATGGACTAGCCTCACATCCAGGGGGAGAAGTATTAGAGTGCAGTAATACATGAATATGATTATGTAAAAATCATATATGTGCACTGCAGATTAAGAAATGAATATGAGAGCAGAAATAAACTTTAGTTAAACAGTAGTGAAAATAAGGTGTGTAAGGATGGCTTTCATTTTCAAAGTGGTAATACACTGAGTCCGCTGTATGCTACAGAAACTGGGAAAAGTTTATTTCTGACTGTACCTTACCTTATGTTGTAGAGGATGAAGACTTCTTTTGTGATGCAGAGGAAGGAGAGCTCTCAGAGGAAGGACAGGTCTCACTGATTTCTTTTTTTACTTATTTTCTTTAACACCATTGTGTTACAACAAAAGATGCTTAAATTTCAAGGGAGCCAGTCAAGGTTACAATAATAAATATAAAAAAACTGAATTTTTAGGCTTTCATAATCTTCAGGAAAAAATTAAATCATTGTTTCCTTTAATCTGTACTCTGATTTTTTTCCTCTTTCTAATCAAAGGCAACACTTGAAAGGCTGGAAGGCATTATACAGATGCCGAGTCAGGAGGAGTTTGTCCAAATGACGTCTACCCAAAATGGGCACTACCTTAATGGTCACAGTAATGTGCCAGGTTAGTGGAGATGGCAGTTAACTCTTTCCAAAGAGTGACTTGAATCTAATTTGTTGTTACAATATCACCCCTGAATCACACATTTAGGTCATGAGGAATAGAGGAAATAATCACCTACTAAAGAAGCTCTGGATTGTTCAACAAATTCTCCTTGTCAGCATCTCAGGAAATTTATAGAGAATTGTATGGAGAATGTGAAAACTGATGCTAAGGTGACTGGTGGGCTCCTATTCACAGCTCTGTGATAAGCACGTTGAAAAATTGCTGATGATTTGTATTGAATAATATTTTAATTTTCCTGTTCCCAGCTGATGATGAAATGCAACCCAATACAGGAAATGATGAGCAGTTTGAAGATGCAGAGAAATAACAACATGCTTATGACAAAAAAACATTGTTCCATGCAAGAAAGACCCCATTTTCACAGCTGTAGCTCTTATCAGGGAAAGAAGAGAAATGTTTTTTTCCAGGCCCAGCTGTGCTTTTTTTTTTTCAGGCAGAGAGGAACTTAACAAAATGCTGTGTACTTAATAAGGACTGCTGCATTATATAGAAGTTCATTGGAGGTCTAACAACATGATATTGTTATATATTTAAGAGGAAAAAAACAATGACATGTAAAATATTCTCAACATATAATCAGAGAGAGAAGAGTCCTATATCATGGCATTAATAATTTCCAGGGAAACTCATTGCGTGTAAAACTGTAAATTTTGTTACACTTTTTTTACTCTTTAACTCCCAGAGGTGATTAACATGAAATTTCTCTCTATAATATTCATACATTGTCTAGCAAACAGGTGTGGAGAATACCCAAACTTATCAGGTAGAAGTTTTACTCTTGATGTAGCAGTGAATTCTCATAACTGATATATAAGAAAATGTGTTGCAACAAGAGGGCAGATTTTGGGAGTTGATGAGTTAATCACTTCTTGCACAATATTATTCACATTTTGATTTGTATACCCTGTCTTGTTGCAACTCATCATTGGTTTTGCTGAAAGAATACTGATGATCAAATGATCAGAGAGTCTGTGCATCTTCAGTGTAAGGCTTTCTGAAGCCAAGTTTGCTACTAGATGGAAAAACAGTGTGTTAAGCAGAAACATTTCTTCACCCTGTGCAAAGTCCTCCTTCTATTAAGATCCTTTGCATGATGTTGTTTGTCTTGTTAAAAGGAAATAATAATTTCTTTTGGAAATGAATTCAACTTTGTGGCCTTTGTATCGTGGTATTTTTATGTCCTATACAGTTGAGTGAACCTAACACAGCTGTTTTCTTTAGAGAGGCAAAAATGAACTGGAAGGGGAATGCATTGGCTCCTTGCCCACTTCTACATTAAACAATCAGTTGGAAAACTCATGCCCATTTTCAGCATTTTAAAGTAATTAATACTGAAAAAAGGTTTATGATAAATGCTTAAGAACAGAACTCATAACTTCCAGCTGCCATCTACCTCTCGGAAACAACAAAAAACCGTTTTTTTTCAAGCTTCCTTCCAATTATTCAACAGCTGTTCCTCCTGTGCAGACTTTGAAACCACTTGTTCAATGGTTTTATTTTTCTGTTTGTTTCCTTTGTTTTGTCAATTTTTTCTTACCACAACTGAAACCAAATATTTCATGATTGAAAAAAACAACTCACAAATTTCCAAAAACGAATTATTCATCATTTGTTTTTGTGAAAGTATAATCCTCATTTGCCAAGCTGAAATCATTATAAATAACTTGAGATATCAAAAGTTGAAAAAAGAAAGAAAAAAGAAATATGAAAATGAATCATAAAGAGGAGGTACCTCTGCATCCATATTTAGTGAATTTAGCCAATATCTTCAAGGGAAATCCACGAAAATTATTACTTTAAAATTCAAGAACTGTCGGTTACCGGAAACAGGTTACCTCAGTTTACTTCCGGAACTTTTCTCCTGTTTTTTTCTTTAGCATTGTCAATGACGACATTTCCGGTGTGATTTGAACATAACACAAAATCGCAGAGCAGTTCTTTCGCTGGCTCATTTTCAAAGAATCACTTTGCACTTTCATGCCGTTTTATTGCTGTCAGAGCTTGCTTGTGGCGGATCGGGAGGCCGAAGATATGAACTACTATCGAAATGCTAACAAAGATGTAGCCCCAAGGAACAGCTTTAGACACCGTATAGTTACTAAAGAAATGGCTTTCTACTGCTTTGATATCTTAGCCATGCATCTAGGCTTATATCATCATCAAGAAGCGCCGTGGCCAAACTTCCCAAACGATGAGTTGTAAGTATATTAAGGTTCCCTGGTTTATTTGCAGTTTATCGTACAGTAGCGATAGCTTAGCTGACCTTCGCATGGGAAATATATAGCTCAGTGAGACGCGATTTGGATGAGAAACGGCCGTATTCTTGTTCAGGGGTTTCTCTGTTCCTGGCAACAAAAGATTGTACATGAAAAGAAACGCCGATCTAGCGACCGAACGTTCGCTTCACCAACCACTAATTTGGTCTTAAATGAAATCTTTCCCGCTGACTCTATTCGGTATGGCCATTAGAACATTTCTTAGTGCCTCAATGGTCGGTGAAAAAAAAATTTATGTGACCTTGAAACAGGCAGTTTTGCATGACTTGAACCGAAGCTACAGTATACAAAATGCAAATTAGTCGACCGATTTTGGCATTGTTATTGTTTGAACCTCCAAGATTATATCATTCTTTTGACATGTTACCTGTAACATTTCCCAGGAATTGGTCGAGCATCGTTTGAAAGGAATATTTTAGGCGAATTGTTCAAGCCTTCGTCTCAGTTCAAAATCGACGAAATTCAACGTAGGTGTAATTCGGGAGGCCCTTATTTGAGTTCATTGTATACATGAATTTTTTTCATTAGCTTCAGCTGTAGTTTGTTCAGGCTTATTAAACTTAATATTTATTATCTGGCCATTGGTGTAAATATATTTAGTTGCTCAATCTTTTTAAACTGGTGCAGATCTCGTGGTTGAAAACAAATTGAAATTTTTAGCAATGTTTTTCACTGCCGGATTGTTTGAGATGTGTGTGGTCATGCTAAACTTGGTTTGAAAGAGATTTTCAGATAGGCGATGTTTATGTATTTGCCAAGGTGACTCTCACGGAGCAATAAATATATCTGCTTTAAAACCCAATCAATATGAAACTTACTGTATTTGAAAATTGTGTACTCTGTTTCTATGGCACTTTGTTTAAGAAATTGATTTCTATGCACAATGAATCCAATTTTGTCTTGCTCAATAGACCAAGTAGGAAAAAATTTTTGGAATTAATATATGTTACTGTCAACAGTTTGATATCAACTAACTGAATTATAAAAAATATTCATGACTTGTAAAATGAGCCATCTTCCTGTTATGGTATCAAGATATATTTTTTTCTCAATTTTTAAAAACAAATCTGCTGTTGATGTATGCAAAATAATTATGTATTTGTTGGTGATTTTCATTCTATTGTTAAATTTTCATTCAAACTTATCTTTATTTTTTCATTCTTACCAAGCTTAGCCCATTGATATCTATTAAATAAGTACAGCTTAGAACAAAAAGTGATGGAATTCATTTAGATAATTTTCTCTCAGATTCCCATATTTTTTGTCAAAAGCAATTTGCTGATTCTTATAGCCACAATGGTTTTTATGTATATTAGTATAAAGGTTCAAAGTTCATCAATGTAGCAATTTTTGTATTACAGTTTTAGAGGCAGATTGATTTGACCCTATATTTCCTAAGATCCAAATAAAACTTTTCTGCACCGTCAACCACAGATTTCTTACAATTTTACCTCTTAAAATTGGTTATAAAATCAAAAAAGATTCCTTAATTAATAATTTCATTTCTATGTCCAAGAGACTTCATGTTGCGTGACAGTAATGTACATGTATCTACTACGCGGAGACAGATGTCTAGAATAAGTCTAGCCATCAAGAGATAATGAACTCTCAAGCTAGAGGAATTGATTGACTTCTTCTGATTATCACCTGGCAACAACCAGTCACATTATTAATGTGCTAACTAGTATAAAATCCTTAAAACTTAAGGGTCCTTTTTTCATGCAATAATACTGTAGCTCTTGCCCATCTGTTTCACTGATTTACTGGTAATACTGCAAAAGTGCGGCAAGTGATTAGTTAGGCAAACAACTCTACCAATTGTTTATTTAGTGTAGTTCGGAAAACCCACGTGAACTGGACTAAGTTCTCAACATCTTCTTGTCACCTTTTTGTGGAAAATTTATAGATAGATTCACAAACATAATGCTATCAACAATGCTGATCCTATCAGTTAGTAGGACATGTGTCATGTTTGAAATCCATAATGGCCCCTGCTCACCACAATCTCTGTGGCTCAGGGGTAGAGCATCAGAGCTTGGAATCTGAAGGTCTGAGGTTTGATTCCTCATGGGGACTCAGAGTGTTTCCTTTGTCCCATGCTTGTGACAAGATGAAAAATATCTTTCTTTATGTATTGATTTGGTCAGGAGAAATTACATTTTGGTCATTAATTTGTGCTAAAGGGTTTTTGTTTTTGCAAGCCATAAATTTGTATCAGTATTGACTTGAACAGGGTTATTCTAGAGATTGCCTCAAGATGGCCCAACAGGCCTTTTAGTTCAGGGGGCCCTTTTCAAGCAGGGAGGCCTTTTTCAAAAGAGGGGCTCTTTTTGAAGAAAGGGGCCTCAGGAAAGTGGTAACCAAGAAGGCATTTGAACATATTTGTATAGTCTTACCAGTGAGGAGACCCAGAAGGGAAAAGAAATTTAGATAGTGAGAGGCTATTAAGTTTGAATTGACTTGAAATATAGCAGCTCAATCTGAACCTGCCAATTATTTTTTAGAATTTCCAACTACAAAATTCTTCAAAATTTAACCCCATTTGTCACTCAGATGTAATTTTTCATGTGGCTTCTAATTACAAAATTTTTAGAAAACCTGCAAAGCTGTGCTTTAGAATAAACTCTCTCGAGCATTTTATGTTGATTACCAAGTTGAGTTTAGAGATTCATGATTCTAAAAGCCTTGTTTAAATAGTTCTCATAATGATATAGCAAATCCTTACTATTACAGGCCATTCCCTGTGTTTGTATCCACAATTAATGACATTATTGTCTCTCTTTCTCTGTTTTTAGTCCCCTCTTTGTCACTTGGAAGATTGGCCAAGATCACCGACTACGGGGTTGTATAGGAACATTTACCGCAATGCGACTTCACAAAGGTCTTAGAGAATACACCCTTTCCAGGTAGGAATTAATTTTTAACTTAAGAACTAATAAAAACTTGCATGATCCACTCATAATTTCTCCCTTGTAGCTGCTTTATGATTTCTTTCAACTTCGTGAGGAGAATTTAATTTGGACTTGTATCAAAAACTGTGAGAGAAGTGACAAGTTACAGTAGTTCCATGTACTTCTGGTTGTCAACCCCTTATGCTATCATCATAATGCAAGTTCTCCCTACCATTATCTATACATTTCTCATGAGAAATTAAGGAGAAATTCTGTCTTGGTCACTCACAATCAAATATACTTAGGGTTGCTTCACAATCAGGAGATTAACCCTTTCCACCCTAACATGAGTATTCATATTCTTCACACTGTATTCCATACATTTGCTAAGGTGCTGTTTCTTTCACCAGTGTTCCTTACAATTTTATTCATGTTGACTTGTTGTTTGTGGGAGAAGTTTTGTTTGATTTCAAAACCTAAAAGTTCTTTGTTTTACGCAACAATGAAATGCAAAGAAAACTTCTAGCACTGAATAACAAAGGCAGATGAGTAGCACATTCTTTTAAGACTGTGTGTACAAAAAAGTAGAATATGCACATCTGACTACCCTGTGTATACATCTGTGTAGTTAACATGTGTGAGTGGTATTGTACATGTATAACAACATACATTATTTTGTTTAGAGTAACACTTTATTTTTTTGTAAAGGAGACACTTAAACCCAGCTGATCTCTTGTTGCAAAGTCAGATTTTTCTTTAATGGATTGTTTTAAATGTCTTCATCTGACAGCTGTGTTTTCTATTCTTTAGATTCTCAAAGATATGTTTTTTTCTTTTACAGTGCTTTAAGAGATAGCCGATTTTCCCCAGTCACCAAAGATGAACTAGCATACCTCTTCTGTTCTGTGTCTGTGTTGACTAATTTTGAAGAAAATGTCAATTGTTTAGACTGGGAGGTTGGTATAAAATGTATTATAGATATACTCTTGGCTGCATTAGATTACAGACTTGTTATGCAATCATTTAAATGCTGTATATTTGAGTTTTTATGGTGTGTGAACTTGTCTATTTAAGAGCTTGGGAAAAAATGAAAGAAGTGTTTCAGTCTTTTGTTTTAGATCTTTCACTGCATATATCGACTGTCTTTCAAAAATGAATATCAAAGTAAATAATGAGTTAACTTGATGAAAAACTCAACTTAATGTCAGCACAGTATGTTAATGCAGCACAAAGTAAATGTCATTGTACATTCCTAAAATGAAAAGACTGCACTGGTCGTCACTCGCTGTTCTCTGTCTCTTTCCATGTTGCTGTTTTTTTATTCCATGATCAATTGTTCTTTGGATTGTTAGCCAAGTACATCAGCATTGAGAGGGAAAGAGAAAGGTTTTACTGTTTATTGAATCTGTCAGAGAGTACATGTGGTAAATTTTTAAATAATCTATATGCAGCTGTAGAGCTCCAAGGAACTGGAAAATACAGTCATGTCTTTTGAACAGCTCGACAATTTGGTCAAAGCTCTTTCTTTCATGGATGAATGGAAGTAAAGAGACCACTCTCAATTCTTTGATTTCTAATGTCATGTTATGTTAGCTGACCCAGTGATGCATTTTAATTTCTTCATAGATTGGTGTTCATGGTATACGGATAGAATTTTATAATGACAAAGGTCACAAAAGAACTGCTACTTACCTTCCAGAGGTTGCTAAAGAACAAGGTACTGTGTGTTAAGCATAAAATATTATTCTTTTTGAGTGTGGTTGTGATAGAAAATCAGGATTATTAAAAATTCTCAGAAACTGCAACAATTTTTGTGTCACTCAAGTTAGGGCAACTATGCACCTACCCCTCCCCTAACTGTACAACAGTCAACTCATAACAAGTTGGGGTTAATGTTTGGTTAGGGGAGGGGTGGGCGCATAGTTGCTTAGGTACTGACATTGACCATTTTAAGTATATTTGATCATGAGTGACCAAGACAGAATTTCTCCTTAATTTCTCTGTACAATATCATGCAGGCAAGTAATGAGGATAGAGAAAAATATCATTTGTGGGATAACTAATTGATCCAATACTAAATTCTCCAAACTAACATAATGAGAATCATTTGGTAAATGGTAAGGAGAATTGCTAATGAGATCTTGGGTGTTAAAGGATTAATGCATGTGAATGTGTGACTGTCCATTTTAGGTTGGAATCAAATCGAGACCATTGATTCTCTCCTGAGGAAAGGTGGCTTCAAAGGGACCATCACCCAAGATGTCCGCAACTCAATCAAAGTGACTCGTTATCAGAGTGAAAAAGTCACTGTAGATTATAAGGAATATCTTGCCTCCAAACAATGTACATGACAACTGTTTAGTCTAGGTCTAACAAATGTAGGCAACTAGATCTGTGAATACCATTTTCAAAGATGTTAATAATTATAATTATTAATTAACTCCTTGTTATATTATATGTATATTTATTGACACGGCCAGCGTCATGGGAAGCAGTGCAGCTCTCTTTTTGTTGTGTTCAAGTCTCAGAGTCAATGGATGTTTTGAAAATGGTAATCAGAGAGCTGCATGGCTTGCAAAGCTTGTTTTGTGTGGGAATCACATTGCAATTCAATCTATTACACTTCAAAACCTTTTCACTAGTCTTATAACAAAGGTAGAACTGCAAGGGTGGAGAGATAACCAAAATCTTTTATCAAATGTTTATGATTTCAACAAAACTCCTCAGAAAGACCTGAGTTGATTTTTTTGTTTGTTAAATTTAATTATATTTAGTAATGATTATGAATTTTAAATTAGTTATAGCATCTTCTCTCTTACAATTTTTGCTCCCTCAAATATGACTTAGCTGCATAAAACCATTTTGGTGAAACATGTTCATAAGTTAACAATCAAATAGAAATGTTTTTCAATTACTCCAATCACTCAGAAGCACACCTTTGTTCTAATACAACAGAAAGGTTTGATGACTTTTTTCAACTGTTTAAGTTACAGGATGACTTAATATTTTTTTTTACTTGGCAGTGTCAAGTACCTCCACTACAGATATAGTTCTCATTAATACAGTCAACTCTCACTTAAGGAACACTCTCGTAAGCAGACAGTTTTACTCACTGACACATTTTCAATTCCCATTTTTGTCTCTCAGTCAAACTCTGTATTTGCACATTCCCATAGACAGACACTAACTCATAAGCGGACTCAGACCAGTGTTCTCCCTTATTTTACGCATGACAGGTAAAACAAATTTTCAAACCAGTAAAGCAATCCTTTTACCTGTTGAATTTTCAAGAATTCCAAGCAGTTTAAAACGGTAATAAGAGGTACTAAAGGTGGTAAGTGTTACCAGTTACCACCTGAAAAGGAGAACACTTTCAGACACTATTTAAGCGAAAATTTGTTTTTTCTTTTGTTAACACTCTCATAAGCAGACAGCCCATGCATAATAATTGATTCTTGGAGATAAAATTTGTCTTTAGCTTGCACATCAACAAAAATATGACCTTGAGATTCGTTTGTCAAATCTCCATTTGTCTGCAGAAAAGCAAGCTGTTGATTTGTTTGTCATTAACTTGAGAGTCCACCATAAAACTCCCTCCTAAGAGGAAATCCACCCTATATTTCTGATGTTTGCTTATGAGAATAATTCCTGTAGGCAAACAGTTCTAATAACTGACACTTTTTTCCAATTTCTGAGGGTGTTCACTTATGAGGGAATTGACTGTCGTTCTTCTGAGGTTTGTCAGCATTTTGATTGAGGGAGTCACATTTTTTTGTGCGAGCATGCAATTTAGGGGTCAACTATAGCATGCTTGTTCTCGTCTCTCGGACAGGTGTATTTACCACCAAATATAAGTTAGTTTTGACAACTTTCTGTTTTTCAGAAATTTTTTTTTGCAATTTATATTTTACTGCTCTCTCAAACATCTCAGAATTTATCTTTTGGTATGTACTAAGACTACAATGTAGTTAGGACAACATCTGTATTTCATAGTTAGTGCTACAAATTGAAAATTGCATTTCATTGAGTTGCATTACCACAGTGTGGTACTTAATATCAATAGTTAATGTTTGCATGAAAAATTTTGTATTATTAATTAATATTTTTTTCGAATTCTACAACCAGCTGTTATTATCTGTGAAGCTTTCCATTTATTTTGGACACAAAGAATTGGGAATTGATAGTGAGACTAGGGAACAAGGAATGAAGAAAGTGTGAGGGAAGGGAAACGTCTGTAAGGGTGGCAAGAGCCATGGCAGATAATACTAGATTGTTTCTGTTTCCTTTTTTAATTGCCAAATTCCTTGGTTACTATAATTTTTTAGGTAATTTCTTGTTTGAGCATTTACCTTCACCTGGGTATTGTTGGAAATTCATTGTGGCAACATCAATCCTTTATTTTTTGTGGCTAGTACTGTATTGTAAACAGCAACAAAGTCTCACTGTTTTGTTACTGTTAGGAAAAGTTTTGATGTTTCCAGTCTTTAATTCTAAGTAATTTTTCCCAAACATCACTAGAATTATTGGATATTCTTTTTTTTTTCCCTGGAAATTCCAATCAAAGGGGCTAGATCAACCAATTTTAGGATATTTTATTTATTAACTTACCAATTTAGTTTTAAAATGAATCCAACACATGAAAACTGAAAATGAGAGAGTTACAGTAAACTTGATGATAGACAGACTTCCCAAATCTGTTGCTCGAAACTCACTTAAAACAGCTATGTATGTAGGAAATCAGACTTACTTTTGCTAGTTTCGTGAAAGGGGAAAAATGACGGTTTACCTGAAATAACACTGTATCTGGCCCCTCTCTGTGACGCTTAAGAACATTTTCTCTTTTTCCCACAAATTTTGTCTTTCCCTTGTAATTTATCATTTTGTTATTTGCTTTTACCCTTTGCTGTTGACTAGTATTCACTTTTTTGTCATTTATTTCAAATGTATGCTCTTGACTCTGCTGTTCTTTCTTCTAATATTAAAAATTGAAATAAAGGTGTTCTTGATGTGCTTTGATTTTTTTCCTGACTAAATAAAGTCAGAAGTGTAGCTCATTGCAAACACATCACAAAGATGGATGTTCATCTTCCATTTCTTTTAAAGTCAAATTCAACCAGAAAATAAATGGTAAGGTCATTTTAAAACATTTTCTTCTTGCAGTTGATTTCTAGAATTATCAGATCATGTTGAGATCTAGTCCAAAAACCTCAGAAAATCGAATAGGAACAGGTAATTGAAAAAACATGAAAACAGTCCCCATATGGGGGCTGTAATCTATGAACCAGCTAGAGCATGGTTTGTACCCTTTTTCAGAGACAAATCTCGAGAACTTTTCTAGGACTCTGATAGATTTTTCCAGGAGCCTAGATTTCACCTTTAAGACTTTCATGCCCAAGATTTCAAAATCAATTCTCCCTGTGGTCTGCATACATTTCTTGTAACATAAATTCTGAAAACTTTATTGCTTGAGTTAAGCAGATTTTCAAGACTTTCAAGGACTTTTAGCCATTTTCCAGGAAATGTCAAAATAAAATTCCAGGACATTCCAGGTTGCGCAGGACCTATACAATCCCTGAGGAAAGTGAAAAGGTTGTCTTTCGTTATAAGAGACAAAAAGATTGAAGATGATACTATATAATACTGGCTAATTCACTCCAACAAGTTGTATTTATTCTACTACTCACACTTACAGACGAATACCCTTAACTTACAAATTCTGTACCTGTAAAACAGATCTTACCTCAGTGACACAATTTTAACTATTATCACACCACAACAAGCTGTTACAATTAACCATTTTTACTTTACCTTCCACATATTTCATTTTGTGAATTAATCAATATTTACAAGAAACTTTCAAAGCAGAATATTTAAATTAGCCAATAAACAAACTGGAGAAGTATAAATAGTGTCCAGAATTAATTTCCATCCTTTCCAAAGGTTATTTAATTAATAAATAAATTATTCCAAGTTTTTAAAAAAAGAAAAACAGGCCTGTCTGTCCAGAATTAATTTCCATATTTTCCAAAGGTAATTTAATAAATTAATTATTCAAAGTTTCAAAGAGAAAAAAACAGGTAGTCCAATTATTCCAAGTTTCAAAGAGAAAAAACCAGGCCTGTTCAGAATTAAATTCCATCTTGTCCAAAGGTTATTTAATAAATTAATTATTCCAAGTTTAAAAAAAAAAACAGGCCTGTCCAGATTTAATTTCCTTCCTTTCCAAAGGTAATTTAATAGATAAATTATTCTAAGTTAAAAAAAATAAAAAACAAAAACAGTGCCCAGCAGCTGGGCATGAACAACTGTTTTAAACTAAGTTAACAGTCACACTTAAAGATTGAATTTACAATAATAGTTGATGACCTTTTCCAATCCCAGCACCATCAGATTTCATCACTAAGTTCACAATCTATTATCATCCATTTCTTCGATCAGTGCAGGCCTATGGCGGCTGCCACGCCTCAAATCTTTCCTCTTACAGTAAAACATGGCTAGAGTACCACCTGCAAGTAACGCCACCATTGACACCACTGATGCCACAATAGCAATCTTACTTTTGTAGTCCAATGTAGCTGTTGATAAACAGTGTAAACACACAGTCAGTAAATAAACATAACAAACAAACAGATAAATACATAAATTGGAGCAACTGGAACAGGCTAATGACCCCCCTGACTGTTTTGTTAACCCATTCTACTTTCAGAAGTGACTAACCCTAATAGCTAATCCCCATACAGCATCACATAAATATGTTATCAAACAAAAGGTAATCAAAATGACAAATATATCAACAAGGGGATGTTATTTGATGGAACAGTAAAGAGGTCAAGTGGAAGAATTTCAAATCACATTTTTTAGGTTTGAGGGTTAAATTTGCTAATTTTCAAGAAAATGCAGCTTGATTTGCTTTGCTTTATCTTGTGTTGTGTAGTTTTCTGAACTTTGTTGAAAAACTGTCCAAATGATGCAAGAAAATGGAGGCACCTAGCAGTGGTACATCAGATTAATATACAAATGTTTCAAACTGGATGTGATATTTTGTGAAAAAATAATCCTTTAACAATGTGATCATTTACCCTTCAATTTTTTTTATTAATACATGAATAGACATGATGACTCACTTGGAGTTGGGTAATGCTTTTCACAGTCCAGTGAGAATTCGTCCTTTATAACTTTGTGATATAGTCTCTCAGAGGGAACCATAAACAGCTGACAGAGAAAAAATTTTAATGAGCAACATCATCAGTTAAAAACAATCATATTAGTAAGTATTGGTAGTCGTACAGAGTGGAGTCCAATTCAGTTTTGTATGTCAAGTGCTGGAAGAAATTGGACGACTGCAAAGCAGGAGTCAAATTTGTTTTTTACAAGTATTGTGGGAAGTAAAGAGTCATGACTTAGCAAAATCCATGGAAAAAACCAAACAGAACAGAATTAAAAAGCATATAATCAGCTCACCAATGGTCAACAATTCACAAAGTGTTCCAAATGAACTGACACAAAACATTCAATTTTCTATCGAGAATTTCTGGATATTCTTCAGAAATCTTACAATTATGCAAGCACACCAACCTGGTAAGAAACTTTATCTGCCATTTTGCCAATCTTGGCTTTGAAGGTTACAAACTCCCACTCTTCAGATCCTCCAGCCATTCTTCGCTTCCTTGCATGCTCCTTACTGGTCACAAATGTCCCAAATAAGTGAACCCTCTTTTCGTCATCATTGGTAAATTTTTCTGAGGCAGTACGATGCCATTTCCCAGACTCGTTGCGATAAAAATTAACATTAACTGAAGGATTGTCAGTTGACATGTCATGGAAGGTGGAAGACACACCAATGAAATGGGTATCTTTGCCAATGCCAATAGGAATGTGCTCACACCAATGCTTGTTGCAAGAAGATCCATCCTCCTCCATAAGAGAACAACTTCCTGCAAAAGGTCAGAACAATGCAAGATTTAATTTGAAATTCTCCCTTCTAGCTTCTTCATTCTTTTCTGAGAATCAGTATGGCGAATTTGATGTTATATCAGATAATAACCTCCAGCTGAAAAGGTGTCCAATCTCATAACCTGTTGGCTAGTAAATGTACTACATATTGTATTGAGAAGTTACAAGTCAATCATGTCAGTCTGTAATCAATCTATCAGTTACAAATTGGGTTGATTATCACCAGTATGCAAAATTGGTCGCAACAAAAAAAAATTGCCATGAGTGTCATGGCAGAAAATCTCATGGCATATTCAAATGTCTTATAAATACTATTGGTAAACATTAGCTCAGATTTTGATATAATCCTGATCTTAAGCAATCTTAATCATTCATTTAACCCTTTAACTCCCAATGATCTGAATGTCAATTCTCCCCTCTAGCTGCTACACATTTCCTGGTAAAATAGCTGCAAGAATTCGGTGCTAGATCAGGGTAACAACTTTCACCTGATAAGTTTGAGTATTCTTATTACCTGCTTGTTAGATAATGTATGGATATTCTGGGGAGAAGTCATATTTTAATCACTTGAGTCTGGGAGTTAAAGGGTTGGCAAATAAGCAAACACAGTTGTCATAATAATCTGTCAAACAAAATGAGAGAAAAACATAACTACCCAGTTGACAAATTTCTTCCTTGAAACTTGCAGTTACCAGTTCTTCTCTGTACTTTGTCGACAGTGGATGTACTTGAATAATCTATACAGAGATGTGATAAAATTCAAATAATAAATTTTATATGTTTGTATTTAAATCTATCTATCTATCTGTTTGCTGTACCCTCTATATAATACAAAGAGGGCAAAGCAGATGAACTACCACTGTGCTGAACAGCCCTAAATCAGCTTAGAAAACTTACACAATACAAATGAAGAACCACTTATTAATAAGTAAGGTAAGTTTACTTTTATTCAAAACCAGCAATAATAGATTTTTAGGATCAAGAGTTTGACTAATAATTCCCATAAAAATCCTTTTATTTTGCTCATTGTACAATAACAAGCACATTTGTAAATTAACAGAGGGTTATTGTGCAAGCTTGGGCCACCTATGGGGTAAACCACCAAAAATTACTGACAGTATATAAAAGACTTTGTGAGTATTATATTAAATCTTAAGACAAATAAATCCATGCACCACAGTGCATTGTGTTTAAATGTATTGAAAAAACTTCTTCTCAATGAAATGATTTATATTATGTTTCTCCTGCTTGTATTATTATCACGATTATATAGCAGAAATGAACAAAAATTCAACAGAGAGTAAAAATTTAAATCTTACTGAGAGACGCAAAGTTTCCTCATTTTTCTGACTTAGGTCAGTATGCATTTCCACGCTGAATGCATAATCAAGATCTCCTGAAAAACAACAACAACAAAAAACAAAACAAAATGTGATGACAAATTCAGAAAATCTGATCATTACTATTAGCATCAGAAACCATTTGCTCATGATTCACAATGTTATTATAATGGACTACTTCATTCTGTTATGTAAGATATATATACTGTAATAGTGTTCTCCAGAAATTTCTCACTAGCCAGCCATAAAAAGGCATTTGCCAGTAAAGATCAGGCTCCAGTTGTTTCAAGGGTGAATAACATGATCCACTGGATAAATCTCTATCCAGTGGATAGCCCAGTACATTTTGTTAACACTTATCTGCTGGATAGAGATTTATTCAGCCACACTAGCATTAGCTATCTATCACAGCTCTGACTAATTGTAACAGTAAAAGTTAAGGAAAAAAACTGAAGACCAATTCATTGTTATACACACCTATTTGCATAGGGGGGTTGACACTTTTGTAAAAAGTTCCAACATAACTAAAATTGGTCTCTGGTTGAGAAACTCTTAAGGTTACTGTGGCTGGCTGAGTGCACATATTGACTGTCGCTTCATAAAATACTGCCTTGTCATCAGCGAATCCCAAGCAATCCAAAGTGTTATTTGATGTCTTGCCACATGGAAATGGAGGGCGCTCTGTGGAACAAATAGAAAAAATCACCTTGAGGAAACAAACAATTACTGCTGTATACTTGATAATTTTTTGGAAAGATTCTTGGTAAAACTGAAATTCAAATCAGTCATCTTTCAAAACAATTTCCAGTTTTAGATTATATTTCATATTCAACACCAAATACTGTGTCTGATCCAGTAAATATCACACAGAAAAGATTTTCAAGGCTTGTATTGTTCAGTTTTTAGAAAAATACCATGATATTTCTATGAACCTGAGGACTCTAAAGAGAAAACTGTGTGAGTATAGGTTGGGAAGGAGAAATGAAGTCCATTTAGAGCATGCAATGCAGGAGATAATTAGACATGAAATTGAAGGCCCTTCATCACTTCTTTTTCTTAAAACTGAACAATAGTTTCATAACGAAATCCTCTTTTAAAGTAATGTTAAATGGCAGATCTCTCATCTGACGAACTGTATAACACATTTTTCTGTTTGGGTCTCTTTAAAGTGCCACATGGATGGCAGAGTAGCTCACTGCTCTCACAAATTCTTTTCCACATTTGTGGTAGAACATCTCAATACACTTGGTACAGTTTAGTCCATTCGCATAGTGACTCCAAGTTGACCCAGTGCAACCTGGTGCAACACGATGTGCTGTATCGTGACAAAGAGTTGACTACTGGCACAAGTGTCACGTGACAAAATATTTTTCTCGATTTGCAAAAATTTTCTGGATTTTGGAAAGATTCTGGGACTGTAAATTATTTTCAATTTTCATGAGTCACTTGTGGATCTATGAATTAAACCAGGACTTGAAATTATTTTCTCAATTTGAAAAACTTTTCCAAAGTGATTTGTCTAGGAGATATTGATTCTAAGTGTTTTTTCCAATTTTCAAAATATTTTTGGATTGTCCCTTTTCCGCTTCCACAGAAATGAGATGTCAGTCACTATTAATGTTAAATTTGGATTTCATTCACAAATTTCTTGCTACTTTATTTTGATCTGAGTTGCTTAAAAATTTCCTCTAAATAAATATTTATGATCAGAATGTACTTTCAACAATAGTATATCAGAACTATGACAAGACATTTTATTGTTTTATACTGTACACAAATACTGAAAAACCAAATGATTTCGTGTAGGGCTCCAAAATCATCTCGATTTTGTCGATTTTGTTTCAATAGCACTAATCAATGTGGTTAGGAAAATTATGAGCTTGTAATGTTTGAAAGAAATTACAAAAAAACCTAAGAACGTTTTTGTTTAAGTTTTGTGATGTTGATATCAGAACATTTTAAAACCCGATTTGAAGATATCAATTTTTTAACGGTGCCATACACACTAATTGCTTTTTAATTAGCATACAGTTAACCTCGTTGACATAATCATAATGCGATCTAAAACGAGTAATTTGTCGCTGCAATACGAGGAATAAAAGAACTTTTGTGGAAGGGAATATTTGGATGCGATAAATTTAAATTCAAACACTCTAGATATATTGATAACGCCATTCAAAATAACGCAACCGTAATGGCTTTGTTTGCAACTGTCTCGTATTGAGCACAAGATATTGTTTACATTGTGAACAATGAATGAAATATAAAAACAAGTTTAATTAATCATACTTACTGAAGCTTCGGATGACAGATCTCGCATGTAGAGGCTGGACGGGTCTATAATTGTCGCCCAAGGGCAATTTCTTTGTGTTTTGTTTTACACCGTCAAAAAGATCTCTGAATTTATCCAGTTGAACTTGTGATATAGGAAAAGTGTGATTGAACACAAACCACTGCACACTTTCATAACATCCAGGAGTAGTAAGCGAGCCTCTATAAGTGTAATATTGAGCAATGTCGTGTGGTAAGAATGAAAAAGGCTGAAGATAAGGCAAAATTATTTCGTTGTCTTTATAACGAACTTTCTCAAGGTTATCCACTATCGCACTGAAAACCGGGTTGTCTTGAGCCTGAAGTTCGACCAATATTCCCAAAACTGCTAAGCCATCTCCCTTTTTCAGAGCCTCCGATGCGCTAAGGTACTTTTCCGCATTGTAGTGTACAATATGTATTTCCAAGGGAAATTTTCTTCCACCGACCTGATGCTCTGAACCGCGCGAATTCTTGTTGCCCCAGTGAAAATGCATTTGTAGAGCGCGAAAACGCGAAGTCAGATTTCCACCGGAAATATCGGACTTGCCGGTTAAAAAAGTCGCCTGAACGGTATGTCCATTATTGAATAGCTTGGCAGAAACATTGTTCTCGTAGTTGACAACGAGGTCGGCAAGCCCCGGTTCGAAAAGAGTATCTTTTGGTACAATGTTTATCGGAGACTGTTCATGACCTCCGCAATCCTCGAAGTGGTGTTTCCACGTGTTAGGCCCCTCCGGGTCGCGGTATGTCCAAGATCCTGAACTTTCTGCCAAGTGTGGACATACGCCAAGTAGCAAAGAGATAAGCAGGAAGAGTTTCATTGTGATTTTGCTGTAAAAGAGGCTCTTACGGCAGCTAAACTTCAATACCAACTTTCTTCTAGGGCCTGGCTTCTGATCACAACAGAAGAGCCGTATCACTGTTTTGGTTAGGAGAAAGTGGAGCCCAGTCTCTCAAATAGAGTGTACGAGCGAGTCCAAGGTTCGGCAAAAACACTGCAATATTTTCGAGCATATGATCGATAATACTACGAAGAAACTTATTCCTTTTCAGAAAATATCTCAGACTGATATCAATTAAGTGTTCTTGACTCCTTTTCTAAGAGTTGTCCTTGAGATTACGTAAGCTCCTTCAGTCTAAGACGTCATGGACTTCGATACGATCGGCAGCCTTCATCTTTGTTTGGAAAAATTTATCAGTCGTGTTTCCTAATAAAGTTTTACTTCCTTCTCGTGTCTCTGCGCGGAGTAAGCAGTGAAAATTAACCACGTGAAAGGGATCTTCTTTATTACGCAATAAATCATTAAAAATATATGTTAAGAGTTGGTGAAAAGTACTTTTCGATGTTGCTTTTCTTCCAATGAAGAGGACGACAGCAATGGTGTTTTTTACTTTCGACGAGCCACCAATTTACAAAAAGGCATTGAAATATATTAAAACATGAGTAAAAAGATGTCAAATATCTGGGATTCCGCTTAATTTAGTAACTGAAAAAAAACTTAGCAATGCACATTTAAAAAAAAATCAGCTTGCGTTACTTTTCGTTCACTTTCCCCTACGGACAGATGTATTGGACGAGCTACTAACCGAAAAAAAACACTGTGATCATTAAAAATTTAGGTCCTCTGTCTGCTCTGGGACAATCAATTAGAATATTGACCATTTGATCAGCACAAAAATCCTCGAAGATTTACTCTGTCCGAAATCTGTTCAAGCGATAGAACATTTTGATTGTCTAATTGTAAAACTTGACAGTCAAGCATTTCAGAACCAGCGGAATCGTTCTCTAGTAAGAGAAATTGGAGTCTTCAATTTATGCAAAGTTTTAACTTAAAACCAGTGAAAATAAGACAATTATGAAAGAGATCTTCTTTACCACGGCTGGAGGTTTAAATTCAGGGAGGAATATATCTAACTATTATATTTTATCTATAATTCCAGATTATTAGAGAAACTTTCTGTACCTTAGTTACCTAAACTTATTCTTCCTGATCAGGAATGCACACTTAACAGGAAACAGAAACTTTGCCTCTGTACATGCACATACGCAAATATAACTTGGAAAATCACGAGCTATGACAATACTGATCTATTTCATACAGTGCGTATCGTTGGTTTTCTCTCTTAAAGCTGCGTTAGAAACATTTCTTTTCATCAGCGAACTGTATATGTTTGCAAAATATTCGCGAGTGCATCTCCTCATTTTGATTAAGGTGTCCTGCGTTTTTAAAAAAGCTGAAATTGCCGAAAACGCGAGTAATATTTCCATGATTCTAGGTTTACAAATGTTATTGGAACTACGATACGACATATTTGTCTGATTATTCTGCGATACCTTGAGCCAAATTTTGTGTGATGTTTTAGTTTGGTGGAACGGAGAAATGTTAAACCAAGGAGCAAGATGGTAAAGAATGAAGAAGATTGAAAAAGTTCAAAAGCAACGACCTGGAAAATTGATTTATCTCAGCAAAGCATTTTGATGGGCAACGTGGCACTACTTGAAATTACCGTCCATGCTCAAATCTGATGACGTAAATGTATAACAAGCAAAGCAATAACAATATCATGACTAAAGCACATCCATTAACTTCACTTTCCCAACTCTCTTACAGTTTCTAAAAAATTAATAAAATATATTTATCAATTAAAAAAAGAGTAAACGAAACACATTTTAAGCAAAACATCGACGAGATCTGCCAGGTTGTTTGAGCTGCGCGCGTCACAGCTACCGCTAAAATTCCACTCGTTTAGTCGACTATACATGTCGATGTTTGGAATCTAGAAATTTTTGTCCGGTACAAAGTTTTGAAACAGACCATGCAGTACAGGATTAATACAGTCACAGTCCGTCTTCCACGTGCTCGATCAAATATTACACCGATGAAAACAGACCGTAGATGTTTGCAATAACAAACACTCAGTCTGATATTGACCTAACCTGCTATTTCAAACCTCGATGTAAACTTCTCTTTTATTTTCTGAGAAATTTCGGAAAAAGAAAGGGCATCCAGCTAACAGTTTAATTGATTTCCTTTGAGTTAACCTGTACAGCAGTAGAATTATAAAAAAGCGTTGGCTTTATCCAAAAATTCTTACTTGCTTTCAGATCTCAATATCATGGATTGGGGATTCTAATACGGTATATTTAATGTCAAGATTCGAGGCATCTGTTATACTCTGACTAATATACAACCCGATATTGTCAACTAGATAAAAGAGCCATTAGGCGTCTTTGGCCTCTAAGAAACAGCTACGTATAGGAAATCATATCAACACGAGCGTGTTTCGTGAAGTGTTGGCACGAGTGATGTTTTGTGGGCTTACGTATTTGCACGAGTCGTCGCCGACGAGTGCAATTCTTGAAAACCTTTCAAAATATCACGTCGAGTGACCATAAATAAAAAACTGTACTAGCGACGAATGTCCTTAAAGTCTCACAGCGAGGGGCTAGCGCTCGAAACGACAGCTTTAGAAACTCTAGAAGGTGACCAATTTATACTATCAACTCAGCTGATGAAACCAAAAATACACTTTTCATTAGTTTAAAACTGCCCACATGATTTCATGAGAATCTTTGACCTTTTTATACCATCACTGTGACAAACACACTCAAGCTTTTTGTTTTCCGGAAATTTTGCAGAAATAACCATGTTTTCTTCATCTCTTATCGCTTTATTTATTTAGAGTACTACACAAAACGCCTGTAATATACTGTATAATCTATTTCAGCTTTTTCTCATAGACCAATCAAGGCCGAGACAAAAATTTTCTTGGTATTGTGCATGACGTTGGCTCCTCGCAAGTCATCCGGCGCCACAAACACTCTCTACTAATTTAGAGGGAAATTCTAACAGCCGAAAGGGAGAAATTTAAATTACATCTAGGCCGTCATCGAGGCGCTGATCTTTCACATGAAATCAGAAGCACGCATTCTTTTTCCCGTTTTCAAATTCTGAAGATTCTTCAACTTGTTAAGAATTTGTTTGTCATCTGATGCGCGACCTTGTTCTAAAGGTTTACTTAACTCGTCCTTTCCCTTCGTTTTCGGTTCAAGTCTCTCCTTTTCTTCGTATCGACGTTTACTTTTGTGCTTGTGTTTGTGTTTTTTCTTCGATTTATGTCTGGGTTTATGTTTAGCCCGATACTCTTCCTCGCTGTCGGAAGACTCAGAATAACGCTTCTTTGTTTCTTCGTATTTATCCTGGCGTTTCCTCCGGTCAGAGTCGTCCTTAGTTTTCTTAAGGTCAGCGTAACGTTTTTCTCCGGAAAAAGAGTTCGAAGGGGTTATCTTTCTAAAAGATGGCGGTAGGGCCGGTCCGAAATTTTCAGGAGAAGAGTCCGCTCTCTCTATCTCTGTATTTTTCGCGACCACAATCTGCGTTTCAACCGGTCTCTGTTCCTCATTTTCAATCGGTTTGATGTTCAATTCTTTATCGACAGTTTTATCATTTGGAAGAACATTATTTCTCAAACTGTTTTCTTCGGTTCTTTCATCGACATGACTCCGCGAAGCTTCTTCAGGAGACTTGATTTCCGAAGTAGCAATCGATACATCTTCGGTCCCTTCATCTTTGCCGACTTCTTCCTCATCGCTTGACGCCTCGGATTCGTCCGAAGACGAATCGGCGAAAATCGCTTTGAACAAATCCATATCTGGCCGCTTTGGCACAGAATTCTCTCCCTTTTGTTCTTCATCAGCTTTAACATTTGATTCTCTTGGCCTAACAATGTCCGAATTAGCTAAAGCCGTTACTGAAGCGGGCACAACAGCTGTTTTCGAAGGTAAACCGGAACTCACCGAATTTGTATCAGAAGGGTTCGACTGACGGTCGATTGCATTGATCGTTTCCGTAGAGCTTCCGAACTTGTCCGTCTTGTCATCGTCGTTAGCACTCGTTGACGAATGTTCGTAAGTAACCGCACGAGGTTCTCGAGGTACTATGAAATCTCCAAGTGTGAACTTCGGCTTTCGTACCTTCGGGACCCCTACGATGTGAGATCCCGGGTAGGGGTTCGGAATATTGAACCGTTTACATAAAACATTTTCGGGATGCCACTCGAAGTTATCCCGAGTTAGTTTTCCGAACATTTTCATAGAAGCCGCCTGTGCCTGCCCAGAAGAATCTGAAGATTCTTGAGCGGGTACATCTTCGTAAACCACTCTGTGATCATCTTGTTGTGTCGCCGTCGTAAATCTGGCCGCCATTGTGGAACTCAGAGGTCTGTACAAGGATGCAGACCGGGCGAATTCCTCCCTTTCGCGTTCTCTTTCCCATTCCGTTAAACCGCTGGAAAGCGAAACGAAAAGTTTAAATTCGTTTAGTTTAAATTCGACCCCAGTGCCCTATCCAGCTAGAGTGTGTCCCAGTTTCTGTAGTATGAAACGACTATGAGTATTAGCACCCACCCCTCCTTCCCCCCCCCCCCCCCCCGCGTCTCCCCCTGGAGGGGATGCTACGTCATTACAGGTTCCCTTCAATAATAATACTATACATGAAAAAATTATGCGCCTCTGATTGGCTGAAAACTAGTGCAATCTTCATGTAACACGAGTGCAAAGTTGTCACACGAGTGCAAATTACAAAGAGCGCGCGCGCTACAAAATTTTGTCCGTTTTGACTTTTTGAGATGCGTTTTTCGTGTAAATTATTAACAAGTAACAACATGATTTCTCGTTGCCTTACGACTCGAACAGTTTTGTTGTCAAATTTACTCGTGCTTATTAACACCAAGTTGCACTCAGAATCATGTTGTTAGGGTTTTTTCTGATACGTCGCCAGTTCCCATTTTGACCCCTGGGTGTAGAGAAGCATTGAGGACTAGTCAGTTTTTCCTATAGAGCTGTTGTGGAAGAGCCTTTCCCATGAACTCCGACCAACAGTTTCTTTAAGCACATTTACAAGTAAAGTGCATCGTTATAGCTTTTGAATGAGACACGACATCCTAAAAAAGCAGCTTTAATGATATGATAGGTTTTTATTCTTATAATACCGTATTAACTATTAGTTAGCTTAGCTGGGCAGAATTAGATATTTTATGCTCTTAAATTGTGCTGTAGGATTTTACCGTTTAAAATTAAAGTTACCTGTCTATCATCTCGCCTAGGGAAGGGGGGTGGAATACTTTTATGGGGGGAGGGGGGGGAGGGTGACATGGTTTTCAGGAGAACGAAGGGGGAATCAGCCATCGCCAACAAAGTGTAAAGTGGGAATGTAGAAAATTGACTGCCGATTAACCCCGGATGAAGGGGGGGGGAAGGGTCGGGTCATAACAATATTACAGAGCGTCATGAGATCAGGTAAATTTTATCGTGACATAACCAAAGTCCTCCGACCCTCCCCTCCCAGGTAATAAATGAAGTGAAGACCGGTCCCTTGTTTGAGTACAGTGTCTTGTTTAATAATGGTAATTGACCCGGTCGGATTGCAATTTGATTGGCTAAAATTTATGCACGTGATTTCAAAATCGAACAAGTGCGAAACGCCAATTCCAGTTGAAATCATGGGTTATGAAAAGAAAAAGACTTGGCTCATTACTTAAAACTCTTACCTGCCATGAACCTGTGGAGAAGCTTCTTCTCCTTTTTTGCTTTTTAGAAACTCTTCATAGCGCGCCTGTTTTGCGGGATCTTTGACAAACGGTTTAAAACTGCTGTGACCAGACCAAGACCAACGGGAAGAGGGTGCACTCTTTTGAGAGGAATCATTAACTGCAGAACTCCTTCCTTCCGATGGTATTTTACTAGAGGGCTTTGATATTTCACTCTTCGAAGCAGACAACACTCGTTTCTTGTCCTCTTCAGAAAGATACTCAAACACAGATTTCTGAGGCGCTGGAAGTGGTTCTTCTCCCAGCATTTCTGCTCTATCCATTGCAGTTAAAATTTTCTTCCTATTCGAACCTTCACCGGAGGATTTCTGAACAGTCTTGGAATCGTCGAACTTGTGGGTACAATCAAAATTGCGAGGCACCACCGGAGGTGGAAAGGTTTTAAATGCATCCATAGCTTTGGGTTTTGTGGTGAAAATCGACAAGGCGCCTCCTGAATTCAAACGTAAGAACGAGTAATTAGTCAACTGAGAAACCAAGATAAGAGGCAGTTTTCTTTGGCTAATGAATAAAGAGGGTAATTTTCTAAGAAACTGTGGTGCTGCGTCGGTGGGAGAGTATAACAGGGTAATTAAGTATTATCAACTGAGTTGATAACGTAAATCGGCCACTGTAAAGAGTTTCAAAGCTGACGTTTCGAGCGTTAGCCCTTCGTCAGATTGACGAAGGGCTCTGACGAAGGGCTAACTCTCGAAACGTCATAGTCAAAAAAAGCTTTAAAAGCTGACGCTCGAAACGTCAGCTTTTAAAGTTTCCTTTGGCTGTTCTTCTAAGCCCAGTCACCCTAACAAGTATAGGGTGACAAATAAAAAACTCTGAGACTCGCGTGATACCCGGAACCCGGTTTGAAAACACAACACCACGACTGAACAATCTTAGCTGCCCAATGCCTCATCATCATTATCGCTTTAGGAACATTTTTTACAAGGAACTATTGCTAATAAGAATTTTTTTGTGACTGGAATAAGAAAGAAGGTAAGTTTTGAGCTCGGTAAAGAAATAGAGAAATTTGTTTTTCGTCTTGTCACGAGCGTGGGACAAAGAAAAAACACTGAGTCCCCATGAGGAATCGAACCTCAGACCTTCAGATTCCGCCCTTCGATGCTCTATCACTGAGCAACAGAGACTCTACGGTTAGCGAGGTCCATTACGAAGCTCAAATACGACACGCGTCCTGCATATTGCTAGGATCAGCGATGTCGCGTTGAAATCGCGATACTCTCTTCTGTGTGACTTTCTACCATACTTCACCTTCTAGATCACAATACTTTGAAACGAAAGCGATCATACTTGGACTGTCGTTTTCCCTACAAACGCAACACAATCATTCAAGTGCCAAACCAGGGTGGGAACTTTCATACAGAATCCCTAAAGCCGTCCACCCCTTATTAGTTATCTCCCCTATATGAGCACGACGGGTAAAACAAATATTCAAACCGGTGGAGCAATCCTCCAAAAAAGAAATACTCCATAAAGGAAATTTTATTGGGTTACTGCGTGAAAAGGAACACACTGCTCTATACCCTTAAAGAAAACAGCACCCACAGAAAACTGACCTCTAGAATTTTCTTTTTGAGGGCCTGTCCAACCATGAAGTCCAGAGCTTGTGTCTCCACCCAATTCAGTGTCATAGTTAGACATGTGATCCATTGCATAGATGTTGTCATCTGCTTCTTCAAATGCACCAACACCAAAAGCCTGTTACAGAAAAGGATAGGATTTATTACTCTTTGAGCTACAATGTGCTAGAAATTTGTAAAAGAGCCAGTGGTAAAAATTATCATTCTTACTCAGATTCAACATTACATGTGAGGAAAAAAATGGAATCTGTCTCATCTAGCTGTTCTATGAAGCTTCTGCCAAGCTATTTAAAATTACCAGAAGTCTACTAGAGACTATACTACAGAAAATTGACAAACATTATTGTTAAGAAAGACAATGGACAAGTGTGGATTAGAAATATGAACTGGCTGCCATCAAACTTGCCAGTTCCTCTGCAAGGCTTTCATTGCTTATTTATCTTTTTTTCTCTCACAAGATCTCTATAGAAATTCTCCTTACGCTCTTTCATCAAAAAATCTCTCATAAAGTTCGTCATAAGAACTTGATATCAAATCACACAAGATCCCCTTGTTTTTTTGTATTCACATTGTCCATCAGCTTCACAATTGAAAGGCTCAGAGCAAGAACGACCCCTTGATTTTTTGGCCATTTTTGAAAGTGTTCAGAAGTAGTTGAATTTTGGCATGTGGACTTAGTTTTACTCGATATACACTGTTTTGATTTTTTTTTCGCTGGTTTGCGCTTCGTTTTCGAGAAATAACGTATGCAAAAAACCTTGAATTTCGTAGCGGCTTTCATTGAATGAAGCCGAAACAAAAGAAGCCTTTTGTTTCATCAAAACAATACAGCCCCCGAGAACTTGCATATTCATAACCAGCTTAAAGAAAGAGCATTTTTTTTGTTTTGAGTTTAAAACACCGTTTAGCAAACGTAAAATATCCTTGAATAAACTCGCGCTACGGCAGAATTGAAGACAAAACCAAAGATACGTTGACATAGCCAAAAGTTTATACGAAAACGCCCCTGTCGAACGCTTACGCGAAGGAGTGCCGCCGGTTTATTTAACGATAAAATTTACAACGTGTAATCGAATGTTCTCGTAGCACAGTCGGTTAGGCATTGGACTCACAGTCGGACGGTTGGTACAGCTCTCTTTTTAACAAATGTCTTTTTTTTCGCTCACCCTTGTCTCCTTGTCATTATTTGGAGCAACAAAGTTCTCAAGTGGGGGTGAAAGGATTTGAAGTGAATGTGTACAAACCAAATTTACCTCTCCAGATATGCCCTTCCTTCCAACTCTTCTTGTCACAGAATCCATTCCAAGCCAGTTTTCTTGATGAAAAAGAGCAGTGGATGGGTCCAGTCCCTTGTAACCAAGTCCATGTTTGTCATCTTTAGGAGTAAACAAAAACACATCCACATCTTTTGGTGCAAATAGCAAACCCACTGCAAATATATCGTCTTCCTCATCCTTGCCATTGTCAACTGTTTGTGATGAAGACAAAGCTGATGGGAGTGAACAGCCATATACCTGTGTGTGCAACATTATAGTACAGTTATATGTTACATGTATAATATATAGATTTAGCCAAGCCAAAAGGGGAGCTCACATTTTTTTTCTCGCATGTCTCAAGGGCACAACGCCTCGCCCCAGCCAGGACTAGAACCTGGGTTGTCCAACTTGGAGCCCAGTGCACTGACCACTGGACTACTGAACAAAGCCGTGGCATTGGCGTGCCTCTGGTACAGTTGACCACACATGTTAAAAGTAGCACCTTTTACGGTTGTACGGTTATATGGTCGTACATCCAAATTTTTTCAGCTTGATGGGTTACTACTATTTTGTATAAACATGGGGCTACGCTCTGCGAGCTCTGCTATCATCTGTCTGTTTATGTAATCCAAATGAACAACCACTGCTGAAGATAGGAAAGTAATGTAACAACTTAACCCTTTACATCCTAACATTGGTATCAACATTCTCCAAACCATTCTCTATGCATTTCCTGAGAAGCTGACAAGGAGAATTTGTTTAACAATCAAGAACTCCTCTAGTTTATGATTATTTCCTTCATTCTGCTTCCTTACTGACGTTAGGTTAGTCTCAGTACCTTTTTTCCAGTTCTTCGTTCCCGAGGTCCAACTCCCTGTCCTTCCTTCCACCCCATCTTCTTTAGCAGTTCAACTCCCACGGACATTTTCACTGGCACTACGAGATCCTGTAGCGGAGGTACCCCCGGGATAACTCTCTCCGAATCATCAGAAGTCTCTATACGTTTACGACGATTTTCGAGCCCGCTTTCCCAGGACAAAAACTGTTCTTTTGTCGCGATTCTTTTTGGAGCAATTCCAAACTCTCCCATGTCGTCATCATCCATAAAATCCTCTGGCCTCTGTTGTCTTTGCTCGCCTTTTTTGGAGCGAGAAGAGATGAAAGTCGAGGGCTGCCATCCCTCTTTCGTTCCGACCGTGTTAAAATACCCGGCTGAAAAACCACCCGTGAATGCGCCATGAAATCGTCTTCTCCCTTCAGTATCTGTAACAATTTGGTCGTGAACCGGGACAGCTTTTTTACGCGGAGCATCTTCCTCTAAGGGCTCAAATGGCGTTCCAAAGCTTGCTAGCGTATCATCATCGTCGCTATCCGCCATCTTGAAAATCTTGGCTAAAAGTGACGCATAAGTTTTAGGAACACACCGCTGATTCCCACCACTGGCGCGCAAAGCATCATGCGTGAGGTAAACAAAGGTTGCTTAGTTACAACTAAGAATGGTGGCCAAGTGGACATGAATGAGCTCGCTGCAATAAGTTTTCAAATTGTCTTCGTCTAAAACGTTATTCACAACTGAATATCAGGTAATCAGATAAATAATATTAACAGTTATTCTATTTTTGACCTTTGATTGAGAATAGATCCCTGCAGAAAACATAATTTTCGCGTTCAATGCAGACCATTTGGAAAGTTATACTACAAACATTTTTGAAATTACAACAAGCTTCCTAATTTTGCCATCTGTTGTACAAATTTCAATTTTAACTCAGTAATCTGTTGAATTTTTGTTAGTACTTTGCAACAACCTTGAGCTTAAATCTGAAGGAAGCTTGTTAGGGGAGAAAGCTATCGTAATTATTGGAACAAATGTAAATTCGAATGTACTTCTTTTTAACACATATGATTATTGTGCTTACCAGTACTTGGAAATATGCAATATATCGCTTACGATTATGGTTTTTATTTGAAAACAAGTTAGAATCGAAGGGATCGCTTTATTACTAGGTATTTGGGTAGTTACAATATTTTTTGTGAAGTCAGTTTGAAAAGTAAACTTTTATTTTTCTTGTCAGGTTTTGGGATTTCAAAATGTTGTCAAATGTGGATACTATACACATATCAGCAGTACTGGAGGACTGTGTAGATCAGCTGGCAATCCTGGGTCACATCATGCCACCATCTTTACAGGGGAAACAAGAGGCTGCACAAATTGTTGATGATGAGCTAGGCCAAATTTTACAGGATCAGAGAGATTTAGAATCCAGATATGAAGTGGTAAGGATTGAAAAAAAGAAACAAAGAAAGATTTTGTGTGATTTTGTCTTACGGGTGGGACACAGAAGCATACTCTGAGCCTCCTGTTATGAGTCAAACCACAGATCTACCAATTTTACAATTTTTACTTAATCAAAAAAGGTAAGGGATCTGCGACATAGCAAGGTTATATACAGTTGAACCTGTATTAGGTGGTCACCCACAGATAAGGGGTATTTTAAAAAACGATGGAGAATGCCACTATATGTCATGATTGACCACTTACTATACAGAATCTTGCCCAAAAATACTATGTAATTTGATTTCGAGAGAGAAATTAACATGGATTAGAAATTACTTGAAAGATTATTCTTAGTTTTATTTGAATAGTTTGACTTTCAGTGATCGTTCAATATAGGTTGAAGACAATGAATAGAGGCCATTGGGACTGAGTAAAGGGTGATAGGGAAAAGTTAACCCTTTCAGTTCCAAGATCTGATTGTTAATTCTCCCCTCTAGCTGTAACACATCTCCTTTTTAATTAGTTACAAGAATTTGGTGTTAGATCAGGATAACAACTTCCACCTGATTAGTTTGAGTATTCTTACTACCTGTGTGAAGGTTAATGTATGAATACTGTAGGGAGATGTTACATGTTAATCACTTCTGGGAGTTAAAGGGTTAATTAAGAGATGAAAATAATAGTGATTAAGGGGAAATAAATTCTGACTCTGAAAACCGACCGCTTAATACAGTGTGACAGCTTGATACGCTGCTGCCTAATACAGGTTTGACTGTACTTGGAAGTGTGAACTTGGCAGCATTCACTGGAGCTCTTCCTCTTTTTCACAGCAAATGTGTCAAATTTTTTATGTATGGGAGAAAAATTTTGAATATTCAATCAAATGTACATGTGTTCATGGAAGTATTCAGTTGGGACAAACAGATTTTGCAAGGGTTGAATTGTTTAGTCATTTGATACTTTCATTGCTGTGTTTTTCCTGTTGTGTTTTACTGTATTTGCAGTATGTAAACTTTGAGTATTTAGCTTCAAATTTCCTCTAAACTAAAAATTTATTTTTCCCAGCTTGTTAACCATAGAGATGACCCCCACACAAATAACAAGAGTTTGTTAAAAGTACCGGATGATCTGCAACTACATTCTGTGGCCAAGTCATTACGAGAAAGTACAAATGGTATGTAAATGGTTCTAGGTATAATTTTCAGTGCCAGGTGAATAAGGATATGATTATGAGGTTAAACACATACAAATTTGTACCTCAAATTTAACCAGGGTCACAATGTTCAAAGCATGATTAAGCTAACTAGGGGTTAGGTGAAAATTTTTTTTTAGATTTGTAGCTTTGCAGAAAGTTCTATACAACAATTATTGTTTATATTTTTCCTTCAATTTTATTGTAACTTAAGGAAAAATGCTTCAAAACATGAGCCATAATTTACACTTTATTTAAAGACAAATCAAGGAAAAGTTAAACCTTTAATACTAGATTATCACTACATATTGTACAACTTGGCTCAGGCTGGTTTAGCATTTGAACCAGGTAACATTGTTCTGGGACCCTGATTTCAACTTGGAAACTCAGAACTCAGATGAATCCAGCCACTCAGATACATCAGTTGTAAAGATTAGTCTGTCTGTGATGTATGGGATCATGAGGGAGGGGGGAAGGGGCTGTGATCAATGTTTGACCAGTCACCAACTGAAAGATGCGTAGTCAGTTGGATTAATATTTGCAGAGTGAACAAGTCTTGTTAACTTCAAGTCAGACCCAAATCAGACTTTGTGTTAACTCACTCCTCTACATGTTTGAAATTCTTTTTCTTCACAAGAGAGAAAAACAATACAGCAACATTGAAGTTATTTACTGATACCACTCATTATAATATTGTTATAATTTAAGTAACCATATATGTAAATAAATGTATTGTGCTGACATTTACTTCAAAACATTTCTTTTGAAGTCTATTTTTCAGTCATTTTTTGTCTGCTAACTCAAAACTTCAAAAATTTTAGCTGTTTTTCATCTTTGGAAGTCCAAGTTCATGGGGTATGACTGTAAACAAACTTAGACACTTCTATCATTGTAATCTGATCTCTTTTCTGTTTCTGTACAGCACTGAACAGAAGTTTCAAACAGAACCCCTTGTCAAATGACAGCCTGTCAAAAATTCAAGCAGATAGGTAAATAATACTGTTTATTTGTAAACAGCTAAGAAGTGATGTCTTTATAGATCTTTGCAAAGTTGGCCAGCATTTGATTTGCCCACATGCAAATCAGGAAAAATGGCAGAACTACACAAAGTTGAGACTTAACTCTTTACACCCAACATCAGGGTGCATATTCTCCTCACTGCTCAAAGGTGCTGATAAGGGGAATTTACTAATGATCAGGAGCTTCTTAAGACAATGATAATTTTTTTAATTCTTCTTACCTTAATGCTTGATTTAAGGGTCACCTACTGTAAGGAGAAATTAGAAACTTATCACTAATAGAGCTTTGAGATGTTTAATAACTGGCTTTTAAAAAAGTTAGGAAACTTTGGAAAGAAAATTCACACAATATTTGCAACCAAGGATTTCTGCTATTTTATTTTAAAGATGTAACAAAGCATTCTTGACCATTTACACCCTAACATCAGCATGTATATTCTCCATACTGTTCTCTATACATTGAGTGTAAACTGAGTGTAATGATCTAGTGCTAGTGAGCTAGTGATCATTTCCTCTCTATTGACCCTAATGTGTGATTCAGGGATGATCCCAGAAGGAGAAATTAGATGCTAGTCACCCATAGCAGTTTAAAAGGGTAAATGTTGGTTCAGTCTGTGGTAAATGTAAATACTTAGTAACTTTCTTTAAGGTCAAGGATTCTTGATTTTCTATAGGAAATTTCTGCAAGATGTGATGGAAGAGACGCTTGAAGAGATTGTCACCAGCAAGTCGTTTGACTCTCTTGTCAGAGCTGTTGATACAGAGAAAGAAAAGAAAGCCGGGCTTCAACAAACTATACTCAAGTATGTTGCATTACTGTTGACTGTAATTAATGGATGCTGGGAAATTTTTAACCTCATCGGTGTATGTCAATTAAAAAAATTTGTTATTGTTGTGAAAATTTATAGGGAGGAAGAAAGTCGCAGACTTGTGAAAACTCTCCAAAGGCAACTGTTGGAGGTGAAAAAAGAAAAAGAAAGCGAAATTCAGGTAAGTTCAATCGTTTGATATAACTATGTCACACACTGTTACTTACAGACTTAACCGCCTTTACACCCCAGCATTTATATCCATGTTCTACTCGCTGTTCTCTCAATAAATTTTCTGTGGTTATGACTAGAAGAATTTTTCTTGAAAATCAGGTACTTCTTAAATTCGTGATCGATTGCATTTTTATCCTGACCTTTACATTTGATTCAAGGGTGATATTGTAAGGAGAAATTAGGGGCCAGTCACTCTTAGGGGTTAAAGGTTAGTTAAATGGAATAGGGTTTCCCGTTTTGCATCAAATGTAACCAGCACTTGTGTGTGCGTGCGTGTTTTTTTATTACTAATTTAAAAACAAAACAAAATTGCAGCAAAGAAATGAGATGATAGCCCATCTTAAAGATCAGTTACAAGAAATGAAGGCAAAAACCAGCATGGAAGGAAAGTACATCAAAAAAGACGCAGAGGTGAGAATCGTAGACTCTATTCATCACCCGTTTTATAAAATATTTAAACTTTAAACTTCCTTTTACCGCGAAACGATCGATTTAGTGCTAGCCAAACTGTTTCCTTCTCTTTCTTGGCCTAAACAAGCCTCTGTCACCAAATAATGTATGTAGTTTGGAGTCTCGAGTCTTAAATAAGATATATAGTTTTTCTGTTTAGCTTCTTGGACGGAGTGTCCTTTTGAACCGGAAGTCTTTCTGAACATTAGTATGACAGTAGTGATGCGTGGTTTATATTTGTGGTACTTAGAATCTTTTAAACTTATTCTTAGTAGTTTGTAAGAATTCGCTAGGTCTAGCTTGATGAGGTAGATATATCAACATCTTTAGCAATTTTCTAACGTTAAAAAGGAAGCGAAATGAGTGAAATTTGTACTAAGTTCCCCACAGTTTTAATTT